ATTTGTTGAAAGATTGTTCCAATCCGACCAAATCGACCCAACCCAACCCAACCGACATTTGGTTGGGTTGGGTTGGATTTCAATTTTTTCGTGGGTTGGGTTGAATTTCGATCAAACCGATCGTATTGGGTTGGGTTTGGGTTGGAACAAAAACCAACCCAACCCACGCCCACCCCTAGTTAATGCCTTAATTGTGAATTGTTCCCCACAGAAAATTAAACTTACATTTAGGCCACAAGGGTATAGTGCCAGGCCATTCTGTTCCACTGGTTTGAACTTTGACTTTGATCTAGAGATGGGAAAATGCTCTCGTCCCGCCCTATTTGCCCCTCGATGCCTCATTCTCAGTACAACGGGGATTCTGCGATTAGGCATGGAGGGGGAGCATAGTCCCCGCTCCAGCTCTTACATTTAATTTTAATTGAAGATCGAGAGAATATGAAGATATTTAATTCCGTCCTTCCTCCACCAACCCGTTGGCATCTGTATTTTGACCTTGTATGGTATTTTATCTACTGTGAAGTCAATAAAATAAATAAAAGTATATGCGTTATAAAACATTTCGGCTATCTGTCACAATTATGTCTAATCTAAAATATAAAATATAACCTTGTCCATGGTATGGATAGTAGTTTTGGTCAGACCCAAATCTGAAAAACACAAAAATAAATAAAAGAAGATTTGGGTTCAGCAAAAAATATTCAAAATTAAATAAAATGGAGTCAACACATCTGATCTGTAACTACTAAGTACCAATTATTTTTAAAATTTATTTTATCAATTATTAAGATGTAGCTATTATCAATGGAAGTGACTTCTTCTAAGATACAATCAATTATTGATCAATAAGAGACTATTTGTTCAAAAGCCTATATGCTCTTATGGTGAAGTTTGATTATTCTTTAAAAAATACATAATTGTGTTGTTAGGTTGCGAATTAAATGATCTTTATTTCTTTCTTCGTGCGCATTTCGAGAAAGTCAAATTGGTGATATAGTCCTTTCGCTGATCAATAATTTGTAATTGAAAACTATCAAGCATTGTGTTAGAATTGTGTAAAATTAAATTTGAACATTAGACAACATTGAAAGCTATAGTGTATAAGACCATAATTAAGTGCTATTCAATTATTACTAACATACATTTATTTTTTTTACACTTGAGCGTGAGACCGCGATCCTATATATAGAAATGAAAAATGCTAGAAGTACACAAAGGTGTATATAAGGGTATCCATAATGGACACCCGGCGCCCTCCCATTGGATGGAGTGTTGGTGGGTCCGACACTCCCTCCAATGGGAGGGAACCGAGTGTCCATTATGGGCACCCTTATGTACACCCTTGTATATCTGTAGCACATCTCTATAGAAATAAACGAAGTGAAACATCGAGAGATGTGATCAATTGACCTTCAAAGTTACAAGGGAAGATAACAAATTTAACACAAGCTACACTTTAAAGTATTAATCCCATTAATCACGACTCTATGTACTGTTTACCGTAAGACTTATTAAGATTGACACAGACACCGACAATCGGCAAAATGTTCTTGATCGAGTCAATATATATGCCGTGTAGACACTTTAGTCGTTTTAATACTTTGTTGAAAAACTTGCCTAAAGTTTATTAGTAACCTTTTGTAGGTAAACTTTCATTGCCCCAAATACAATTTCAAGGAATTCATACATACATTTCTCAAACTATCCTCTAGAAGACGTGACTTAAAGTTATTCACTACTACTTTTTGAATGGCTGACCCGACTTGGAACAGGACAAAGAATAAAAACGTGCCTCTAGAAAAACACGTTTTCCATAGAGTCGTCTAATGGGCCTACTTATCATTATGAGAATGAATTGTTACAAAAGATGTGTGGTTCAGATGGAGTGAATTGTGGTACACATTCATTATTTTCAATTCATTTGACATTGGATCTTCGTGGTACACATTCCAGAGCTAAGGATGACAGTTATTTGAAATTTATTTGAAATTGGATCTTTTCTACATAAGTAAGATAAATAATTATGCTACGAACAAAATAAAGAATCTACAGAAGCATAAATTATATATTCTGAGAAATAATGTTCTTGTCAAGGTTCGTATCAAGGAGCATGCAAATTTCAAAATCATATTGTTTCTTTTCAAAAATTGATTTCTTCAGCCAGAGAAAGGATTGGAAACAAAAGAAATCATTTCTTATCGTAAAAAAAGAAAAGAAAAGAAAAGAGAGAAAGAAAAGAAAAATAAAGAAATATTTGCAGTCGTAATCTCAAGTTTTTCAAAAAGCGTAAAGGAGCCCCAATTAAAAAACAAGTCAAAAATTAAAAAAATCATTTCTTATCCACCCCAACCCACCCCACCTTGCCCTACCTATCCCCCTTCTAGCAACACCGCCCAAATCATCTCATCTATAAAAATAAAACAAGAGGAAAATGAGAATATCGATAATGCAGTTCTGCGTGACAGGAACGTGAACATGAACATGTAGAGTACGTTTCCAAATCTGTATGATAATTTTCTTCCACCACCATTTGTTGGAAATGGTTTTACATTTTGTAATTTTGGGCAACTGTGGCACTCAAAATTATATGGACCCGTACTAAAAGAATTAACGGGATCAAGTATATTCACGTTCTATTTCATGAAATGATTAACCTGATATATTAATTTATCGGAAATCATATGATTGAATGAAATATTTGCATCAAAATTTATATATTTGAAACTTGATAAAGTGAAGAATTTGATTGAATTGTTTTTCCTTTTTCCCACGTAGAAAAACTAGCCAAAAAATGATTGGTTTATGTAGCCCTAAAGGGCACTCAATTTTATGGAAAGGGAGAGCATCTAGATACCATTGGGTTTGAACCACATACGCGTGCGCACATTGCTATATTCGACTGGCTCAGCACGTGTAGGGTTCGAGTTTGAGTTCAGGTGCAGATCCTTGTCTTATATATATCTTTTTGAAGAAAATTTATTTCAATATTTTATATTAATTTTATAGGACAAATTGTAATTAATTGAATTATTTGGATACTAGATGAAAATAATCTAACCTCTTTTAATTAAATTTGAATCGTTGCCTATTTTCACATAATTTTTCTGAATGTAACCAACATCTATTTGTGCAACCGACAAATAGGCATTTATTTTCGATCTAGACAATCATTTCTGTTCGTTTGAAAGACTCGATATAGTCACCATTGTTCTGAATAAGCATGTAGACTGTTCGAAATTTCGAATTGCAATGAATAATCTAGAAATAGTATGCCTTTCGATGAGAAACATTACACCATTTTCAAATGCAATTATTCCTGCTTTGAATCTATTTTCTCTAAATTCTCCTTCTATTTTTAGAGTACAAAAAAAAAATACTATATTGAGTCCGTTAGAACTCTTACTTATTATTGTGTTGATTGCATAATAGATGAAATTCGTTTTATCGTGAAAGACGATTGCTAATTACCTTTAAATACCCTTAAAAAATGAGCAAATTCGTATTAAAGACATATAGTGAAGCTGGTGGAATCGAATTGATTTCTATTCGTATTTTTTATCCTTACACGCCAATTTGACCTTCGAAGCACCCAATAATAGGTAGAACTTATTCAATATCGTAGTCATTGGCATCTAATGGATTTTTCGATCCACCATATTTTATGAAGCTTTTATATTTATATTGTTATTTTCAAATGGTCTTGATTAGATTCACTCGACAAAATTCTATCAAATTATGGTTAGAAACAGAACTTTTTATTATTAAAATGCACCAATTAGTTACTCTTTGGAGAGCTAAAATTGCTTCAATTATTTTAGCTGCCCTATTATTACATATTTCAATAATTGTGGACAAGAAAGAAAGAGGACATACATATGTTGTAATAAAGTTGGCACATGATCAAATTCTTAAAACCACACAATTTGGAAGACTCAATGAGTATATGTTTCATATTCAAAACTGTCCAAAATAGAATATCCCACATAATATTCGGAGCAATGCTATGGGTACAGAAAAGTACCCACAGAAGTCGGATAGAATACACACAAATAGGTGGATCCCGATTTTTTGATAATATTTAATTCACATAGAACATGTCTCCCATGTGAGTGAAATTCAAATTCCTGTACAAATTCTGTTTTTTTTCCTACAGCTTTTTTCTAATATTGGTGCTTACTCAGCTGGCTGGCTGCCAATATTTGGAACTGTTTAAAAGTCAAATTCAATGTAATTTTTAAACCGTTCCCCGTGGGTTGAATCAACTTTGGCCATCGGAAAGAAAATAATATGACTGGTAAAACAAGGAAAGAAAACACATGAAACTACTTGAAATTTTCATGCTCTTTTTTATGACTGGTAAAACAAGGAAAGCAAACACAAGAAACTGCTAGAAATTTTCATCAATTTTCGTGCTCCTGCAGTGGAAGATGAACTACATGGTTCAATAAAGTGTTAAAATGGGGGTGGAGTCAACGATGAATAATAATAATAATAATAATAATAATAATAAAAATACCCACTAGTCCAAAATATATAAAGAAACAAAATTTTTTTTTATAAAAAATATTTTTTTACATTTAAAAATATTAATTGAGTTTGGATTTCATGGGCTAAACCCCTCTATCTGCACGTGTTTGACACGAATAGAGGTTTTGTTATCAATTATTTACAAATAGTGCTGATCTAGTATAAAATTAAAAAGGAGTGTTTAGAGAACTAAATTTGTGATAAAGTAAATTAAATAATATTTAATAAAAAAATTAAAATTTTATTCATTATACCATCAACTACCGTTCAACTGTACTAAGGCACCAAAACTTGGAGTTCAATGATTTCCCCATTCAAACTTGCCCATAAACCAGCCGCTTTATCTTACCACTTTTTTTTGTCTTTGGACCCCCCCCCCCCCCCCGCACCCCCTTTAATGCATTTTCTTATCCTTATAGTTTCTATGTGTATATATATAGCCTAAGATTTTAGATCCAACTATTCAAGAAAAGATGGATGAGAATATTGACGTGCCTCAGTATTTCTTATGTCCCATATCACTTCAGATCATGAAAGATCCGGTAACCACCGTCACCGGCATAACGTATGACCGCGAAAGCATCGAGCACTGGCTGTTGACGGCGGAGGACACCACCTGCCCCGCCACCAATCAGCCTCTGCCAAGAGATTCCGACTTGACCCCGAATCACATGCTCCGGCGGCTGATCCAAGCATGGTGCATTGCCAATGCTAAGAATGGGATTGATCGAATCCCAACCCCGAAAACTCCTCTCCACAGGTCTACAGTTCTTAATCTCATTCGGAAACTCAAGAATCCTGTTATGTATGTAGATTCCTTGAAGAAAATGGATGAACTTGCCAATGAGAATGAGAAGAACCGGAAGTGCATGGCTGAGGCCGGATCAGCCAAAGCAATGGTTTCGTTCATTTTGAAATGTTTCAAAGAAGGTAATTAACTAATATACCTCGTTTAAAAGCTTAAACCTTTGAACATGAAATACATATATTTATTTAAATTTAGAGCATGTAACATTTGGCTAAGCTTAATTTCTTGAGTTAAATAAGTACTTACAATGAAAATATATACCAATGTTAATAAAAAATATTTAAGTAAATTTACTTATAAGTAAATATGTTAAGCTTAGCCAAACACCAGTCTTTAACATGCATATTGAATTTTTTTCCTCATCAAAGGCCTTACGGGTGCTGTCTAAATTCTTAAACTGTTGTTTGTCTTCAATAGGTAAAAATACCAGCCTTGAAGAAGCTCTGAGAATTCTCCATCTAACCTGGAATCCTTGTATCAACGAAAACCAGCAACTTGTAGAAGATAACCTAGTTCTCGTGGAAGCATTAAGGTGGATCTTGAAGCGTACTAACCTAGAAAACAGTGTCATCACGAAAACTCAGGCCCTTATAGTATTGAAAAAGGTCGTCGAAGTAGAAATTCCGAGTTTGCTCGAAAGATTAAACCCCGATTTCATCAAAGAAATGGTAAAAATCTTACAGTGCAATAAACTCAAAACATCACAACAGGCAGTAAAATCTGTCTTGCAAATCCTTATACATATGTGTCATGTGGGAACAAACCGAATGAAAATCATCGAGGCAGGAACAGTTTTCGAGCTTGTTGAAGCTGAACTAAATCAATACCACGAGTCGAAGAAAATTACCGAGCTTATATTCACACTTTTAGCACATTTGTGTTCATGTGCTGATGGAAGGGCACAATTCTTGAAACATCCTGCCGGAATTGCAATGGTTTCCAAAAGATTGCTGAGAATTTCTCATGCAACTGACGATGGAGGGCTTCATATATTTGCTTTGATTTCGAAATTTTCCGCTACACATGAAGTTCTTCTAGAGATGCTGAGAGTTGGAGGCGTGTCCAAGATTTGCATGGTGATTCAAGCAGATTGTGCAGATGATTTGAAGAAGAAAGCGAGGGAGATTTTGAGGTTGCATTTTAATGTTTGGAGAAATTCACCTTGTATACAAGTTTATCTTTTGACGTGGTATGCTAGATAGCATGCACCTCGAACAAATAACGTTAGCGACATGTTTGTTACGATGTATTGGACAGCGTTTACATACCAAATTTTTGTCAACACTGTCTTATTTTGAGAGAATAATATGGTTTTTGCTTACAGAAGCGAACTTCAGAGCAAATAGGTGGTTCTTGAAAAGAATCCATCATTCAGGGGTCAAATGAGCGATATATAATTGTGTTTTTCAATTTGTGGCCGATTTTTATTGAATTTTAATATTATTACCAAACCCTCGACATTCATTTAAGCCTTTGATTCGTGTGTTATTCAACTTTTTGCACAATTTCAATGCATTAAGGGGAGAATGGGAAACTTCCATAGTTAACTGCAAGTAGTATTACCCCTGATATTGAAATGTTGGCTGCTTATTATTTCGAACTTTGAATATATGTCATGCGTTATCGTGTTTTTATGACATGTATCAAGATGCTGAATGCTAATTATCTTGTGCAATTAGCGGGAAAAAACCGTCCCTTTCATGGATTCGGAGTCAAGATCCGTGTTGCCTTCAATTTGAGACTTGGATCCTTCGCTGGTTGAATTCTCTTGTAGATATGGACAAAGGAGGCGAATTAAAGCCGCGTATTAGTTGGGTGACTGGGAATATTATTTGACTCTTCATTAATCACTTAATTAAGAAATTAACCCAAAATATTTGTTTGTATGAAGTTTCTATGTATATACATACATGTATATGAAGCTATGAGTCATATAACAGTTTAATTATAAAATTAATTAAAGAATAATCAATGATGTACTTTTCTTTAATTTCTTGCCGTTTGAATTATTTGGAAGTTTGACTACAACTTGTAAGAGACTTAATTATAATCTTTATATATTCCTAGAAAGAACAGCTAAAATGCGTGTTCGGTCTAGCTTAAAATTCAATTAAAATTGAAAATAGCCGTTATTGTTAAATTTTATTAGATGAGTGAAACTCAATAACGACTATATTTTTAATTTTAATTGAATTTTAAGTTAGACTGAACACGCAGTAAACATTTGAATTATAATTAATTAACTTGACTGCAATATTTTTCATAATCAACTATATATGAGTATATTTTTTCCATTCAAAATCAAATTTCATCATTTTTGTTGACCATATAATAAGAAATATCCAATTGGATTAATTTGCGTCATGCAATTTAATTTATTCGAGTAGTTTACGGGTAAATTGTTACACATAATTCTCGAGAGGAAAAAATGGTTTAAAAAACAAATAATCGCTTCTACGAAAAACAAGATTGCTCTCCAAAAAAAATTATATATAATATCTAACCCCATGTTTGGTTCGGATTAAAATCTGATTTTAATTCAAGTTAAAGTCAAACAATCAATATTAACCACATCTTTCATAGGTCCTACAACTTTTCAACCACACATTTCAAAAACTTCTATCACAGTCTAATAAAAATTTAAATTTAATCCCCACCAAACACCCTCTAGTGTGTTTTAAACGGTAGATTGAAAATTACTAATACCTTATTATTTATAGCTAAATCCGCGTCATCATTCAAAGTATTTGAATCTTCCGAACAATCCAAATCTTGACTCGAATTATATAATATAATTCGAGGGATATAATGTGACAAACGTGAAACTAGAAAAAAAAAACATTATAAATTGTTATCCTAATTAAAAGACAAGGATTAACAAGTTGAATTTATTGAGAGAGCCAACACTTGACGGGTCTTCTTTGAATGCCTATTATAGATTTAAATTCGTGAGTCATGGTCAATACGACTTCGTCTTCATGGTTGCAATTGGCAATTTAATCTCACGAATTTCAATTTATAATAGGCATTCAAAGAAGACCCGTTGTTGGCTTTTTGAATAAATTCAACTTTTATTTTTGTTGCATATGAATACTTTATTTACATTAATTAATTTTTTATGACCCGTTGTTATTTTTTAATTAATTATCAATTCGTAATACCCGAAACTAAAGAATATAATATATATTAAAAATTTGATATTTACATTTTGCCCATTAATATATAATGAGAATTATCTCTACCTTTTTTATACTATTTTTATTTTTATTAGTATTATTATTTTATTTTTATCTTTTCATTTTATTTGATTTGAGTGAACCTAGATTTTGTGAATTATTTTTTCTTGATTAAAACCGTGGGGAGAAGAGAAACTATGTATAATTTGGTATGTTGGGGACCATAATAAAAAATGTCTGTATATATTGCTCAATTAGAGTTCCTATAATCCCCTAATTATAACAATATTGGTATCTGCTCAATTAGCTCATATTTATTAAATAGCTAATATAATTGAATTAAATATGTTGTCATTAAATAGAAAAAATCATTGGTTTTCCCAACCTCATAAATATTTAGGAATGCCATTAATTAGAAAAATCGTTGATTTTTCTAACCTCCTAAATAATTTGAAAAACCGTTGGTTTTCCTAACATTAGTACCATTGATAATGTCGGTTACCCCACATCGAGGCATTATCATATTTACACTATATTGAGAATTTAGAACTCTGGCAATGTCGAGGTTGTAATTGAGTTGATAAGTTTAAAGTCAGATTTCAACGTATCGTGAAATACATTCTTGATGAGCATCAAGAGTATCGAGATAACCGAATTCATCGAGATACAGTTCTTCCACATTATCACCCTTTTTGGAACCTTGTAAATTATTGTGAAACTTAGCCCCTGTTTGACAACAATTATTTGTAAATTCTTTATTCTATATACTCATTTTCAACCACATGTTCACACAATAAAATATTATGCAGGTAAATTCAAAATTTTAACTACTTTTTAACTACACGTTCTTCTAGAAACACTTTTCAAAATATTATTTTTCCCAAAGAGAAATGCTATTCATTCCCACTGGGGATGCATTCTCAGTCTATGTGGCGTTAATGCGGCATTAAATGATATGTGAAATTAAATAAGTAATTTAATTTCACCTATCATTTAACCAATCATTTACATTCACATACATTGGGGATGCATCCCCACTGGAGATGAATAGCATTTTTCTTTTCCAAATAATAGTTATCAAACAGGGCTTAATATGGAGAATTTTTAGCGATCAACTCCTTGTGTGTGAGGCGACACAGAGCATGGACTAAGAAAAACAGGAAAAAAAACATAAAAAGAAGGGAAAAGAGATGAGTACAAAAAAATATTAACGAATTCATACCGACGCTGAAGTGACGACGTATGATTAGCCTGTTTTTTTCTCTCTCTTCATATTTCAATGATTTCAAGTCATGCGCTGTCTGTCAAAATTTTTAGTGTGATTTTAAAAAGAATTGACATACTATGAATGCCATGACTATGTTTAACATTGCTTGTGGGATGCCGTGAAAAATACAAGAAACATATGAAGGGATTTGTAGGCTGGAGGAAAAAGGAGTCCAACGTATATGAGAAATAATGGAAATTCGTTACCTGCTTGTGAGAATTATAAAAGGAAAATAAATTTACTTAATTTATGAAAGTAAATCTTTACGTCCCTACTATTTGACAATAAATGATTTATTTATTTTTAACTTTGATCATTAAATAATTATTAATTTAAATTTATTAAGAGCATATTAAATGTAAATTTTTTAGAATAAATTTTATAAACAATGAGTTTTTTGGAAAATATTTAATTGAAAAGTTATAAATTTACGTGCAAAATATTTTATTTAAAAAATGTATAATTGAACACGGACAAAAAAAAAAAAAAGAGGTAGAATTTTGGAGAATAGTAAACTTTTTAAGCTTCGTCAATCATGCATACCTGTCCATCTTGTTTGAGGTGTCAATTCGGGTGGTCCAATCCGGGTAGGCCCGCATGAAAAAAAAAAAAAAAAAGTCCGCCCGCTACAGGTTCCGGGTCGGCCCACAAATTAGGTTGGCACCTACTTTTATTATAATTTATAGTTTAAGTACATCTCAACTAGGTTGACTCTCTCCTTTTTTTTTTCAAATTAAAAAAAAAAAAAAATTCACGGGACAGCGGGTCAACCGCTGCCCGTGAAGGTGCAACCAGCGAAGCCTGCGGCTCACATCTCGTTGACCCGTGAACTGCCCATTCGGGTCACGAGTCGGCCTGTGGTCCCGGGTCTATCCGGGCCATTTTCACGGGTCTGTCTGGCCCATCTGTCTTGACACCTCTATATTTGATTATTTGACATGCTTTGAAATAAAAGGAAAAAACACAGAATAAGAATTAAATCAGTTCAAAAAAGGCTCTTTCAATGATTGAAAAATTTTAATGGAGAAAATTACAATCTTTCTAAGAGTATTATAGCTAGTTTGATTTAAGGAAAAATTTCATAAATAAGGGACTAAGTATCACCAATTCAAAATTAAGAATAGAGATTTTAAATTTCAAAAATTAGGTTTTTATCAAAATTTATTTATGATTTAATGAACTAATTATATATGTAATGAATTAAATATATTAAGGTCACAGATCTATACAATTTGATCACAAATTAACCATTTAATTAGTCACATATTATTTTTCGATCACAAATCAAAATTTTTATATGTGTCAAATTATTTTACGGTCACAATTCAAAAAATTTATAGGTGACAATTTGTTCATCGGTCACAAATTAAAAATTTAAAAGTCACAATTTATTTATCAATCACAAATATTATAAGTCACAACTTATTATGCCGTCACAAATTATCAAATTACGGTCATAAATTAACATTTTTTAGGTCACATATTTTTTTGTCACAATTTATCTTTTTTATTGGTTACATGTTGTTTATTTAGTCATAGGTTAACCAATTTAGGTCACAATCAACCAAATAATATGTGACCACCACCAACGCTTGTGACAATCACCTCGCCATTGCCTCCAGCATCGTCACCACCATCGTCGCCACAGCCCAATAGCAACATCACCATCAAACCAACACCACAACTTCCTTTTACCACTGTCACTACCTCCAACAAACTACCACTTTCAACTTCAAAACCACCACCGCCAACAATAAGA